TCATTCCAACAATGAATTTATATTATGTCTACTCTTAGTTCATTACTTTCAGCAATTACTTTTGAACAAATAGTTCACAATCCTTTAAATTACAAGTCATGCACTTTTCATTTCGTCTTCCCTTCCCACTAACTATAGAACTCTCCCAAAGTCATCTTTCAAGGCAAAAAGAACCTTTGAAGGTGGTCATTCCAGTCCTTCATACAATCGCCTCCCAAAATCTTTTATTAGAATATTGTTTGAAACTCACCTTTAAAACTATAGCAGTTCCTGACTTGTCCGCAACCCTTTCCATTCGCCCAAAAAAATCCTTACTTTTTGTAAGCCAAACAAGTTCAAATATTTTTTTGTCATGTTATTGTAATGACAGCCCCTTACTAAATTTATGGCCCTGCGGCTTAAAATAAGCATTTGAGTTTAGTTTTCGTTAGACTTTTCACTGTAATTTTTATATAATAATTTTGTTGGAGAAGTAAGCTTTGGTAAATATTTCTAGAACGCTTACAATAATGATAGCAGTAGCACATATAATAATTTATTTTTTAGGGTTGTTAGGAAACTTAAATCCCACAATAAATCTCACGTTGGACTCTCACACTACAACCAAAAAATCCAAAAATTACGTCACTGGTTATGACATCATCCTCAATTTTATCCCACGTTTAAAAAAAAAAAAAAAAATGGAATTAAAGAAAAGAAAAAGAAAAAAAATTACTATAATATTTGCATATTACTCCAGTTTGTTAAATTGTTAACAAATAACTACCTTGAAATATCAAAAGTTTGATAACACCCCCTTCAATAAGTTAACATTAAGAAACAGATGGTGTCCCAAATTACCCTTTTAGATTAACCATTATAGCCCCGGAATTGTAAGAAATTAAAGCAGATATATATTGGTATGTAGATTAAAGCAGAATTTTTATAGTTTAGAAGGATTTTATGTTACCATAGGAGTTTTGTGCAACTCATGGACAATTTCATAGGGTTCAAGACATCCTTATTTCAAGAAGGTAACATGGAACCATATTGCAATTTATCAGATTTTGTGTAATTAACTTAAGTTACTTGTTACAGTCGTGACGGTGATTTTTTATTTTTTAGATAAGGTACTTATGCACGACTCTTCTCACCAAACCAAGTGGGAGGGTTCTTTGTCTGGCGTCACTCTGGCATATATATATAATAAAATAAAATTTGATATGTAATTTGAAAGCCATTTTCCAAGTTGACTTGAAGCAACCTTAAACATGTGCAAAGGGCTGCATTTTCTATGACCACCACAATTCTTGGGTTACATTTGACTGGTTCTTGTTGACTTAATCAACGTCTTGCAAAAATTGAAGAAGCTTAGGTAAATGCTTAAAATTTTCAAAATTGAATACATCTCAAAAATTGAAGATGATTAGGTACATACATGTAGGGATGCGGTATATGTCCTACACTTTTATACAAATTGTATTTTAATTTTAAAATAAATGACACTTCTAATTTTAATTTTAAAAATTAATAATTTTTTTTTAAAATATCACAATTACCCTTTTTAGTTATGATAAGATTTTATATTTGTAAATAATAATGAAAGATAGATTTCGCAAATAAAAAAATAAAAGAGTTGAACTGTAATTGATCTTGTTAGCATAAAAAATATTGATTAATTATTAAAACTTCATGAACCATTAAACTCATTTGATGATAAAATTGATAGAAATGGCAATTTGTTTTTTTTTTTTTTAATCATTATTATTATTTTTTTTTTGTGCTTTGAGTTTCATTTAGATTTTTTTTCCTGGTGTGATTTTTAAGAATTTATTTGGATGGTGAGGGAATGGTAAAAAAAAAAAAAAAAAAAACATGTATGATTTAGCTCTTTCATGTCTAATATATATATACACACTTAGTTATTTGGACTTTCTACTACTAATTTTAATTAACTAAAACCTCAGCTCTAATTAATTATTGGTCTTAGCAAGACAACTTATTTAAAATTAATTAAATGAACAATTCATGGAATAAATCTTTCTCTATAATTCCATGCATTTTTTAGTTACTCAGAGTTGTGGTATGATTTGAATCACTTCTTCAAGTGTATTTTATGTTGCTCATTATTAAATAGGACATACACTACCTTCAAATCTTCAATTCATCAAAGAGGGTGTGCATCTATTTATATACACACTAGCTTCTTATGGTATGAATAAATGGAATAAAATAAAAGTGGGAATAAAATGAGAATGAGAATAAAATGAAATGGTCATTCTCATTCTATTGTTTTGTTGTAAATATGAAACGTGTGGAAATGAAATGATAATAATCATTATAATGTTTGGTTAGACCAATTTAAAATTTAGAATGGAATGAATTTCAAATTGAATTATCCAAAATACCATTCTTACTGACAAATAAATTAAATTAACAAATTAACATTATTCTATAATTTTTCTAAAAGAAATGACGGTGGTGGTAGATGCCCATGGAGGTGGAAAGAGGTAGTGGTGTAGGTGGTGTTGGAGGCGGCAAAGGCGGTGGTGGCAGAAGGCGGCGACGGTGTTGGTGGAAAGCGATGGTGGAAGTAGTGGAAGGCATCAATGGTGTAGGTGATGATGGTGGAAGGCAGTGGTGTTGTGGTGGTGGAAGGCGGCAATGGCGTAGGTGCCGGTGGTAGAAGGTAGTGGAAGCGGCAATGGTGGTGGTGAAAGGCGATGACGGTGGTGGAAGTCGGTGGTGATGGTGATGGAGGTGGTGACGACGATGGTGTGGTGATGGTGGTGGAAGGCAGCGATAGTTGTGGCAGTGGTGGTAGTGGTGGAAGGCGGCAATGGTATAGATGGTGGAAGGTGGTAGTAGTGGAATGCGGTGGTGGTAGCGATAATGGTGACGGTGGTGGAAGGCAATAGAGGTGGCAGTGGTCGAAGGTGCATGGTAGTGGTGGAAGTTAGTGGTGGTTACAATGGGGGTGGTGGTGGTGATGGTGGAAGGGCAGTGGAAGTCGCAGAGGTGTGGTGGTTGAAAGCAACAATGGTGATGATAGTAGTAACTATGGTGGAAGGCAATGGAGGTGGTAGTGGTAAAAGGCGGTGGCGAAGGTGGTGGTGGAAGAAGGCGGTGGTGGTTGGACTTGGAACATAAGGATTTTTCAAGAATTTTTTTTTTTAATTTTTTTTTTACTTTGGAGTGGAATGTTCATTCCATAGGTTTAGTTGTGGAATGGATTTTTATTCCAATGGAATGACTATTCTCACTTTAAATTGCATACCAAACAAAAAGATGGTTGGAATGTGTATTCCCTTCCATTTCATTTATGCACACCAAACGCTTAGTGTGGCCTCTTAGATCCACTGCATTGTTCTGTAACCCTGCACCTGTTTAATAATTATAAATTTTAATATTTTTTAGTACGTTGTTTATAACAGTTAATGTCTGTTTAGTAACCTTATGTTGCATTTATGTTGCATTTGAATTGAAGGATTTCAAATTAATGAACTTAGGATTAAAGTTTATTACGCACATTGACCTTTTTTGAAGTTTGGACAATTTACATTACATTGACCTTTTCTTAATTTATTCGTTGACAGTTGAAAAGTGACTTTGAGTATGAAAAATTAGTAATGTCCTTATATTTACATTTTATACAAGGAAAAAATAAAATTATTATTTTTATAAAATTTGGTCAACAAGTCTACCTAAAAAACACAGGAGCCAAATTTTAGGGGAGGGTAAAGTAATAAAAAATACTAAATGGTCTACCCATGTGTAATTAATTCAAATTCTAAAGAATAATTACCATATGATTAATTGTTTTCTAAATGTCAAGGCTTGGCAGGTTTGAGAGGCCTAATATCAAAATGGAATTCATGAATTATTGTTCAATTTGCATAATGTTTTGTAACAAAATATTTCTCTTGTTCTTCAAATTTAATATTACCTTAAACTCTAGAATCCAACTTCAATAGCAACTAACTTTTTTATATGTAAATTCAGATAAATATATTTTGAAATCCATGCATATATCCAAACCAACTAATACTTTTCTTTTTATTTTTTATTTTTTACTTTTATTATTGATGCTGGGCAAGACTTGGACCGTGTAATGTGAACACACACGTTACACCACCTTCAATGAAGAGTGAAAGCACCGGTACTATTTATTGATTATTGATGCAGGTCAAGAATAGTACGGTGTTATGCGAACGCATTAAACCACCTTGAACGAAGGTTTTTAGTTTTTTCCTCGTTTTACCAACTTCTAAGATCCAGTAAATATATATATATATATATATATATCAATCAGTCATATCATTTGACGAATAACAGTGAGGTTCGTACGGCATATAGTCATACCAGATAGTCAAATGCCACCTTCATGTACAATGTTGAAGAACTGAGGTAGGTATTGTATTAGGGGTTGGATGGAAGAAAGTGATTTGCTTCAAAAGGTCAATTTGTCAAAGTCAATGCCAATCCAATCTCCATATAATTCAAAAAGTATTAGACAACGAATTCAACAAAAAAAAAAAAAAAGAAAAAAAGAAAAAAAAAAAAAAAAAATTTAACAGTCGAACAAATTTAACTAATTTTATATGATAGAAATTAACGTTATAATAAATATTAATTAATATCACGAAGACTGACGTCAACTCTCCCTCACATTAATTAGTCTAATTCCAACTTCCTAACTCTAAATCATTATAAATATAATAACAATAATAATAATAATAATAATAAACTTTTTTGCTTTGGAGTGTAATGCTATGGAAAAATGAAATTTTGCAAAGAATTTTAAGCAAACCAGATTTAAACACTTGGATTCTGTCACATAGTAGAGAGAGAAATCTCTACTTTAATTGAATATGTTTCCACCAAAAATGTTGGTCATGGTCTGCCCAATTAAAGATGAAAATAAAATCATTCCCATCTAATGACAGATAACACCTCCCTGATCACACACAAACCAGAGAGCTTAGTCTTGCCTGCTCAAACTCAGAAGTAAGAGATCGGTGATGGCGAACCAAGAAAGTCACGATGCCTCGCCCGAAGATGAGCTTCTGTCTCCTCTCTTGAAATCCCTAGAGACAAAAATGGAGCGCAACGAAAAAAACAATACTGAGGCAATGAATGATCCCCATCTTTCCGGTCCAAGGATGCCCATCATGTACAGGGTCCCGGATGTCCTTCGCGAGCAGAACGCAAGCAAGTACAGCCCTACCGCCATGTCCATTGGCCCTCTTCACCGGCGGACACCACGCCTTGAAGCAATGGAGTCCGTCAAGCTGAGCTACATGCGTCGCCTACTAGACCGGACTCAGACATTTGAGGAAACAAAGAGAGCTTGTGTGGCCGCTATGTTGAAGAAGGAACAACTTGTAAGGACTTGTTATGCCGAACTCAAACTTGATGCAGTTGCAGCTAAAGATGATGCGAGTCTTGCAGAAGTGATGCTTATTGATGGCTGCTTCATAATCGAACTGCTTTACCGGAATTTCCAGAAGGATTATGACCCCATTTTGTGGAACCCTTTCAAGTACTACGCGGTCCAACATGACTTGCTATTGCTCGAGAATCAGATTCCTTTCTTCGTTCTTCAAGAATTGTTCAACCTGACTGTGCTGGAAAAGGTCCAGAACGAAAGAAACAACCAAGAGTACTCCCTTACTCTATGGGTACTTTCATTCTTCGGAGATATGATGGGGCTCGAAAATGGTGGTGTCGAAAAAATGAGAAACATAAGTCCGTATCACATGCTCCATCTCTTCCACATTTACTATCTGCGGCCTTGTGATGATGATTCTTCATCCAATTTCACATACGAAGAGCAACCCGGGTTCAAATACTCGGCCACAGAACTTCACTTGGCGGGAGTCAAATTAAAGGCGGGTAAGAAAAGAAACCTATTCGACATAAAGTTCAATACTCCCTTTAGTTGTAGTAGCTGCTGGTTTTGTTTCAGAAAAGGCCACTTGGAAATTCCGCCTTTCTCCATCTACGAATCCACGGAGCCATTCTTGAGAAACCTCATTGCTTTCGAGCAATGTTGCCCCTGGATCGAGAGCTACTTCACATCACATGCTTTTCTCATGGATGTCCTCATCGACACCCCAGACGATGTTAAATTGTTCGAGGAAGCAGGAATCATATGCAACTACTTAGGTTCGAGCGAAGCAGTGTCCCAACTCTTCAATGGCATTTGCAAGAATGCTGTTCCGCGCCATTTCCTCTACGCTACGCTTTACAAGGAGGCGATGGGGTTCTGCAAGCCTTGGCGAGTTTCTGCCGGGAAGCTTAAACATGATTATTTCGGTAATCCATGGTCGGGTATATCAGTAATTGCCGCCATTGTCCTTTTTGCGCTCGCCTTTTTGCAAACCTTCTACGCCATGATTTCTTATTATTGAGTAGGTATCAGCTGTTGCGCACAACATAGCAATAATAATGTGGATGACTCTTGACTTTTATGATCTATTGTGTGGATCATATGTACGTTCTCAATGACTTTAGTGTATGATTCTACAATCAGGCCCTATAATAAGGTCAATTTCATTAAAAATTGCTCAATTTTGTTTAAAAGCATCTTTCAGCTAGCTTGTTTGATATTGAAATATTGCAGTGCCAGTTGTCTTTTATTTATTTATTTTTAATAGGAATACCAATTTAACCAGCCCATCCCCTAGACGGATTTGGAATCATGCTAATAGGATTGGAAGCAGATTTGGAAAGAAAGTTTTTAATTTGCATACCTCTCAAACCGGTTCGATTAATAATTAATATATAAATAAATATTTTTTATTAATTATAACTGTTATTCTTTTCTTTTCTTTTCTTTTTTTATAATTTTTAATTTTAATAACATTGATTGTTAAATATTTGATTTTATTAAAAAAAAATTACAATTTTTGAATTGTTTTTTTATTATTATTATTATTATTTTTTATAAATATATTAGGATGCTTGAATAGCCCAAAAGGGGTTACAGAGTATAGCCCAAAACTAAAAACAATAATAGTAGCCCAAGCCCAAGCAATGACTTATTTAAGCCTAAACTATCAATAAAGCAACAATGCATGTTTTGCACTCACAACATAAACGCGACATTAACCGGTTCCAACGTCACTCAGCTATGTTTTGCAATTATACACTCAATCTCTTCATCTTTCCCAGTCTCATTTTTGGTATCATTAGGGGTAGGGGTGACAATTGGTGGGTGGGTCAGAGCTCAAATAGACGGGTGATAAACAGGTTAACATGTTTGTTTTTTCTCTCGCAAATTGAATTTTCTGCCTATGTAGAGATGACATTTTTAAAAAGCAAATTCAAAATGACAAATAAGGTTTCAAATTTTTTCCTTTTCAAAATGACAAACTGAAATCAAAATCTTGTACTTAAAAAAAAAAAAAAAAGATTAACTTAATTTAATTTAATGAGGAACAACAAACCTCCAAATTTAGCAAATCCATCTTAGTACCCAAATTCAGAGAGCAAATAGAAAAATTAACAAACACCGACTATAAAGCTCTCTCAAGTTCTTATAACAAAAATGATGGGAAAAAAGAAAACCAGAATTCCCAAACAAGAAAAATGGAAAATATCTTATCCAATAGATAAAGGTTCACACTGTAGCTTCAATATATCTCACTCGGGCTCGAACACGATTCAATCAGTAATCAATGTAGATAGCATAGGCAAATAACCTTGATAAAAAAAACCAAAATAATAATAATAATAATGTCCATGCTAGTCTTGCTGTTGAACTACAGTTAAGCAAAATGATTTAGACAATATATTCTTAGTAGCAGCCCACATAAATTTTTTACTGTGGCTCATCTAGAGCAGTTTTAGTTATGTTCCAGTAGAAATTTGACTTGGGTACTAAACTTCCTTGATGCAATGACAACTAAATATTTGATAAAGAAAAAGGAGAAGATTTTAAAGCATGTGAAAGAAAGAACTGATAATATCACTTTTTTTTTTTGTTTTTTTTTTTCCCCTTTTTTTCTTTTTTATCATGACATTGTTTTACAGTATGGTGAGGATGATAATAATTCATCACATTGAGAAGGATTTGGATTTATTCAGATATAAATAGGGTAAATTAGGGGAGGAGATTCCTAAACACGTCACGTCAACCCAAACTTGACCCAATCAATTAGTTCATATAAATCATTCATAATTATTTTGTTTATCTTTTATTATTTTCAGTTTTTTTTCCCATCCTTATAGTTAAAATTTTGTTGCAAAACACAAACAAAAACTTAATCTCATGGCTTATGTTCCTAAGTTTGATGTACCCCTTTAACCAACTACTATAGGTGCACTGATGATAGGTGAGACCTTCCAATTGATACTAACACGGGGGCAGTAAAATGTAAAACTGAGAATAAAAATTTTTGGGAGGAGAGGGTTTAACTTACCTAATAAAAAATCTTTAAACCACTCTCAAGCTAAGCAATTATAGGTTCAAAATCTTCAATAAGTTATTCCTCCCCCGAGTCTTCTAAAATTACATAAAACACAGAACGGTTAGACAAAGCATTAACTATGTATTATGTACGTGTGGATTTAAGAGGTGCCCAGTTAAGTATATTACATCCCTTTTGCATTTAACCAATCTTGAGTGCACAAAAATGCTTCTACATTCTTTGGAAGGATTGAAATTCTATATTTTGAAATCATCTGGCCTCCAACACTAAAGGCAAACTCCGATGCAACCGTCGTGATTGGAATGCTCAAAATATCACTAGCCATCATAGAGAGTTCAGGAAAGCGAATTCTGTTTTCCTTCCAATACGCAAGAACATAAAGATTTGGAAGTTGTTTTCGGTCGAGCTTCTGCTCCTCCAAATACAAATCCAGTTGGGATTTGTTTCCACTCAGACAATAATGGTGACTCTCATACAAGTCAAAATCCTACATAATTTCATATTTAATAGCATACAAATTATACAATATAAAAAAATGAAAGATAGAAATACATATATATTTAACACAATTTGCATGAGTTTACTTGCATCTATATCATCTTCTATATCAACAACATTCGCCGTACTGAATGGGGAGGTTGAAGAGGAGATATGCATATTCTTAAAAGCAAAAGTTTCTATATCCAACTTTGAAAACAAGTACTCCCCATATTGCAACTTTCAACGAGGATTTAATATAATTGCAAAAGTTAATATCAAGTTGTAATACTCCTTATACTTATCAAACTTTTCCTTCATTAGTTTAGCCATAGTACTTATACCATCATCTGAATTTTCGATCTCCTTATTTAAAAGCTTTTGAATCTTCCACACCCGATGAAAAAATAAATTCCTCAAGAAAATGTTTTAAAAACTTAGTTACTGCATATCATTTTAACCCTATCCCAATCCTCCTTAGTTGGACACTACAGACACTAAAATTTTAGTGGGCTTTGGTTTTGACAAATTGACCCATCAAATATAGGTCTAATGTTTAATTAAATTATTTAATTAGCCTAAGTTTGGTCTACTTAAATTATTTAATTAGCCCAACTCAGCTAATTAAATGAAAAGATAATTCTTCCTAATAAAATATATTTGGAATAATTATTTTTAAGGATAATTATCATAATATAACCGGCCCGGTCCAGTTATAATTTTATCCTTATCAGGAGAGGACACGTGTCATCATCCTATTAATTGAAAAAACCTATAAATAGAGGCCTAGAGGAAGGAGGAAGGGGTACACAAATTCAGAATTGAGAAATCCATAATTCCAATGAGAAATATAGAAACTCTGCCAATACTCATCCCCAATATCCAAACCCAAAAGCGAAGAACACCAAGCACATCAAATCGTGCCGTTCTTCATCAAATTTCATGGTGATCAACAACAAGCACATCAAATCGTGTCGTTCTTCATTCAAATTCCATGGTGATTCAAAATCAAGCTCGTACAGCCCTTGAGTCCAACCAACAAAAAGGAGATCGAATCAGAGGACCTTACTCTTTGTAAAGAATATTACAGAGGGTTATACTCCAATTTTTTCAATTTAATAAAATATTATTTTTACTCCCTATTTTTTTTCTTATTTACAGACTACAAAATTTGTGTGTACAAATTTCTGGCACGCTCGGTGGGACATCCTTTACCTCTCATCTCTTTCTCCTACTATCAAGTTTCTTCTCTGTCAGATTCTATGGCTCCCCATAAGACTCAGACAGACAAAAAAACCCAAAAGAATATCGCTACTGCAAAGGTTAACATCAAAGCCACCATGAAAAGTGTCACGAAGGCCAAATCAAGTGATAGAAGTACCTTGGCGGGCCCTGTGACACGTAGCAAGTCCCAAGCAATCACGTCATCTAAACATCAGCAAGACTTGGTGAAAACCAATCATAAAAAGCTAGCGAACATGAAAACTTAACATGTCAGAACCCTAACGATGTTCCAGATGAGATTTCACTACTAGATTCACCTCATTCTATCTATAATGGTCATTCTAGTGTTGGTTCACCCCCAAAGTCACCACATCAGACTTTGGAGCAATCAATCACTTCAAGGAACATTGACTCTCAAGGCTTATCGTACTTAGATATGGTCGCTGCTATGATGACTGGAGCTACCACAATGGAGGAACAACTAGCAACTATGGCTTGTTCCATTGAGAACATCACAAAGACTGTTGAAGAAAAGAACTTGCAAATTGCTACACTGATGAACAAATTGAAAGTTCAGACCTTCGGTGAATCACCAGTACAGTCTGGGAATCCTACAGCTTCCACAGCAGCGCCGTCTGGGAATCTTGCAACTTTCACACCACCACCGTCTAAGAATCCTATATCTTCCACAGCAATGCCGTCTGGGAATCCTAATTCTACGGCACAAGGTACTCTCATGGAGGACCCCAAATAGACGTAAGTGACAGAACAAGCGACTAGTCAAACCAATCATGCTTCTTCAGTCTCTTTATTATTTGTCGAACAATTGCAAGGTATGATAATGAATACAATCCGTGCCTAATATAGAGGCGTCTCACAGAGCACTCTCATGTACTCAAAGCCCTATACAAGGAGAATTGACAGTATGAGGATGCATATAGGATACCAACTTCCGAAGATTCAGCAATTTGATGAAAAAGGCAACCCTAAGCAACACATTGCCCATTTTGTTGAGACTTGCAACAATACCAGAACTGATGGGGACTTACTAGTTAAACAGTTTGTCCGCTTCCTTAAAGGAAACGCGTTCAAGTGGTACACGGACCTAAATTCAGAATCAATTGATAGTTGGGACCAAATAGAACTAAAATTCTTGAACAGGTTCTATAGCACTCGTTATACTGTTAGTATAATAGAATTGACTGACACGAAGCAATGGAAGGATGAGCCTATAATCAACTACAATAATCGGTGGCGAGCACTTAGTCTTGACTGCA